TTGTTTTGTCTGTAGGGTCATTGTGGTGAAATTCGTTGTATGTCAATAACAAATAATGGAATGCATATTGTAACTGCTGCACATGATCGATCTATTCGTTTATGGGAAAGAACAGAAGAACCTTTGATACTCGATGAAGAAAAAGAACAGGTAATCTTTTCATTTTGTTACATTTTTGATTAAAGATTGATTTGAAAAAGATGATTCATTGACTTCGCAAAAACTTGTTTATATTTGAGAATAAAGAAGTTTGAACAAGTCTAGTTTATATAGATTTGACATGTTTGTCTGTCTATTTTCTTTTATATACTAATATTATGATGATAATTGAATGACAGCAGAATATTCTCTTTATTAGAAAACAAGAAAATCACGTATACTAAGACGATATGATTATAAGAAACATTTATTGATTTAATATAGTATCGGTCTGTTGAGAATAGAGAAAGAAAAGAAAACTCTATTTTTCAATCAAAAATTTTTGAATGAATTCTATGAACTGATTATAGTGACCTTATTAAGATTTGCTTTATTGCGACAATAGAAATATGAATCAGAAAACAGTGTAAGATTCAGTCAATAATTCCTGTAAGATGATAATAATGATTGATAAGATGATGTGAGAAGTAATTTATCGAAAATGATAAATAAACTAAGTTAATACATAGATGACAAATAACGAAGTCACAATTTATTATGTGTCATGATTTAATCTTGTTAAAATCATTAACAAAAAAAAAACGAATTTCTTATGTTTTCCTGGACAAAAACATGATAGATGACCTGTTTAGATCTCTGTTATATTTGACTCAAGAGAACGTCAAATTTAGTGAATCATAAAGAATTCAGGTCGATTTAGTCTCTACAGTGTTCTTAATTGAAATACTTCAGAATTACAATTAAAGCAATGCGACGTTGTTTTGAGCATAATTCAACACTAAATAAAACAGTTGTATCTTTTTTTCTTTCGAGACTTGTATAAACCGATCTTACAATCGTTAGAAAAGGTAAATGTTTCTTGAATTTTGTTGCTATATCTGATTTGACATAACATATGATCATATTGTTTGACATATCTTGAATATTTGCTTTTTTACGATAAACTTGGACAAACTATTTTATGGTTATTTTTCTCGAAAAAGTACACTTATTACTTACGAAGAATTTCTACGTAAGACTGAGTTTTTGATTATATCCTCAGATAGGTATTCCTAAAAAATGAATAAAGATTTAGGTTGTTTGAAAAAAATTTGAGATTTCCATGAATGAGTTCTATAACGTATTCATAACCATAAAGAAGAACAATCGTTTATTTCTGATACAATTTCAACAACTTTAACGTCCTTTGATTTAGCCATAAGATTCTGATATTGCATAGTCAAATAAAATATCGCAAAACGTTACAGATGATTCCATAGAGAATTTTAGAATTTCATAATCGCAATCTAGGTATAATAAAACTTAACAGCTGATAGTATCTAACATTAAAATTTTAGTAATTGCAGCTTCATCGAGCAACAATGACTTTGGGTTTTCATACGATTTCACGAAACTTTGTTTGACTCGATGTTATTCTAAAAGGAGGGTGTAGGTATGAAGAGTCCATAAATTCTCGAATGCTTATGAATCCAAAAATTCCTTGTTTTCTCTTAATATACATGCATAATGGTATCACATAATAATGCTTTGATATATAAAGGTAACAGAGAAGGTTTTTTATGATGTAGGGAAGTTAGATGATCGTACAAGTTATAAACTAGGTAAAAGCTCAAAATGTATAAATACATAAATTTCATGTCGTCAAAGAATTAATCAATTATATGCTTTTTTTCTTCTTAGGAACGTGAAGCTCAATTTGAAAATGAAATGGAAAATGATGAATTTATATTACCTGGTGAAACAAATAAAGAAGTTGGTTTAGCTACTTTAAAAACAATTGAAAGTCTTAAAGGTGT